GATTCTCCTTGCAAGTTTGGAATAAGTAATACTTCTTCTCAACTTCTGCCTCCATCCTCTGCCCCATTCATCAAAGCTCAAGGATATGACTGTGCTTCTGGGCAAGGATATGACTGAAGCTTCTGAGATTCCTCTCTCCAAAATCTCTCTCAGATTTACGAAAGGCTAAGCAAAACCTTAAATTTACCCTTATTCTCTCCCTTGGTAGATGGGATCAATGATTACCCAAGGCACATTTTAGTTTTTCTCACAATAATACAGAATATATCTGTTCAGAATATTAAATATTATCTGTTAAGAATATTAAAAATCCTGCAGCATTCATTCCTTAATGGAATAATGCTCCTTTTTCAAGCAAATTACACAAACTTGACAAATCAATAAACATTATATAAAAATTAAGTATGCACATAAAAGCTACTTACATTTTGCATTTTTTCAGGAAAATGCAGTTACACAATTCTTATAAAAAGTAAACAAAAATATACACTTAAAACTAGGAAATCAAACTCTAAAGCAGCAATAAGGACCTGATGTCCTTCAGATATTTTGTACTTCCAACTCCAAGTAGCAGAGTCATTGGAGCAGATGGCAAAAGATTGTGGAAATAAACCAATACTTATGGAGGGTATCCAGTTTTTTATGTCTCCTTTCCTCCTTACACTAAACACAGAAAAGAAATTCTTTGTATTGCAAAGAGTTTATTGTGGATGAAGAATAACCCTTTGTTTTCACTCCGTCCTTAAGATATTCTATAGTTTATTTAGGGATGTTATTCTAAAGGGGTAACTAAAAGATGGATAGGCATTTCATTTTCTGCCCCAGGAAAAGTCTCAAAACCAGATGGTGTTTTATTGGAAAACGTTAGCAGTGCTTCTGTCAAATGAGATTTATTGCAGGACTATGTGCCTTCAGTTTTGTTGAATGCAGTTTTGTTGAATGAATAGGAAAATTAATAAACAACACAACAAAAATGTTATGAATTAGTCTGGCAGCTACAATGGATGGCCTTGTTTAGAAATTTATTGTTTTGTAAGTTAAATGTGACTAGTTGAAATACACAAAACAATGATTTGATATGATTGCTTTTTGATCAACCAATGTCTGCAAAAATTAGTGCAACAATTATAGTTTGGCATATCTCCAGAAGATACCCAACTGAAGGAGATATGGATCAGAATACCAGAGGTCAACCTTCATGTTGTCAAGTTCATCACCTAATTTGAATTTGCTAGATGGGAAAGATGCCTCTCTGACATCTTTGGACAAAAGTTACATCCTTTCTTGGATCAGAAGGCTCTCCAGTCAGTCACTCATGCCCTGGTCATCTCTTGATTAGACTACTGCAATGTGCTCTACATAGGGCTACCCTTGAAGAGTATTTGGAAGCTACAGCTGGTTCAAAACGCAGCCGCGTGGATGATATTAGGTGCCCCTAGGATGGCATATGTAACACCTTTGCTGCAGGAGCTGCATTGGGTGCCAGTTTGCTTCCAGGTCCAATTCAGGGTGTTGGTTATCACCTTTAAAGCCTTACACGGCATGGGTCCAGGTTACCTGAGGGACCGCCTCATCCCCATTACATCAACCCATCCCACCCGGTCAGGCAGAGAGGGCAAGTTGAGGACCCTGTCAGCAAGAGAATGCCGGCTGGCAGTGCTCAGGAGGAGAGCCTTCTATGCCATTGCCCCGCCCTTTGGAATATTCTCCCCCCAGAGGTGCGGGGGCCCCTGCCCTCCCAGCTTTCCAAAAAGGTTTAAAGATCTGGTTCTGCCAGTGTGCATGGGGTGATATGGGCTCTAACCAGCCTTGGGGGTGGTTAGCGACCTGACAATGCTCCCTTGATTTATTTGCCAACTTTCCATCTTAGCTGGAAGCTATTTATTATTAGGTCTGTTTTATATTGTATTTTTATCTTTGCTATAAACCGCCCAGGGTCATTTCAATGAGATGGGCAGTGACAAATTTGATAAATGAATGAATGAATGAATGAATGAATGAATGAATGAATGAATGAAATAAAACTGTTGTGCCTTTGTTCTGTTGCTGCAGATAATGATAAAATGATGGAAGAGGGAAAACTCATGAAGAAACCTGGCTATATGGATTCAGAATATTACAGAATATGGAAATTACAAGTTTCTCTTGTGTGAAGCCACAGCCTCCAAGAGCATCCCTTTCACCCTCTAAAAATACCTCCGACTCTGTTCCCATAGATAGTTCTTTCCTTAAGATTCTGCTGGTCAGATTCATCAGGACAAGATTCTGTTTTGAGTACAGAAGCTTTGCTACACAATGGAACAAACAAAACAAGTGGGGCAGTGTCTATTGCAGAGCTACAATTAAAAATGTCCATACCCTTGTGTTTGAATTTTTCTGGAGTGACCTGAATAGTGGGAATATCCAGAGTAGGTTGATTCAGTATCCATGGCACAGGAAGTCAGGTAACAGCAGGGAGTGGCACACAGCTTGCACCCTCAAGAGCCACTAAATCCAGAGCAAGCACTTTACAGGATATGTTTAGGTCCTTGATCATTCATAAGTCCAACATTCAAGAGACTAGTAATTTAAGCCTTCATTTCTATGGATGCAGGAACAGCTCCCTTAATCTTCAACATGTACCTGGTGGGGGGGAGGGAAAAAAACTAATAATGAATTGATCTATTAAATAACAGTCCGCTGTTCTTTTCCCTTTGGTGAAACCCAAACTATTGTTTTCTTAGTATGCTGTGTGAGCCAGCTACTATACAAAATATGGTTTATAGAATGCTTTGTGGTATGAACCCTTTTTGTGTATGTGTCTTCAAGTCAGTTTTTATACTCCTGACAATTGTCTGGATAAGTCCCTGCAATTTTTTTGGCAAGGTTTTTCGGAAGTAGTTTGCCCTTGCTTGCTGCCTAGGGTAGAGAGAGAGGGACTGGACCAAGGTCCCCCAGTTGGCTTTGTGCCTAAGGTGGGACTAGAACTCAGAGTCTCCTGGTTTCTAGTCTGGTGCTTTAACCACTACAACAAATTGGCTCTTGGTATGAACCTAGGCATTCATAAATCATGCTAAGCAAAATATGACTTTGCATGATGTGCAACTAAATTTTTTAAAATATCTAGTTCACACATTACTCTAAACCAAATGTTTGCTTGGCATAAATTTATGTTAAGCCAATAATGTATGGCTTACTATAAATTATTCAGGAAACCATGGTTAAACAAACCATGGTTTACCAAAATGGGTGAACCTAACGAAAAGCTCACCAAAGCAAGTTTATAGGTTTTAGGTTTGACAATTAGAAACAGCCATATTTTGGGCATGCAAAGGGGCCATATTCTGAAAAAAACACAAGTAATATGAAGACACATTTGGGATGGGTACATTCTAAGCAGCAATGAGATTTGCTGTTAGCATGCTGCTGTTCATTAAGGCTAAACATTATGTTCAAACTTCCATTAAGACAGAGCTTTAAAAGAAATTGTTTTAACCATGAACAGTCAGCTGGTGCCCACTGTTTTATTGCTCCTTGTTAGCTTCTCCTACTGATGCAGATACTGTAATACTATAAGTGCTGGGCAACCCTGTCCCACACTGCCGCAAAGCCCAGCCAGGATAGAACCCACACAATTCTGCTCTAAATCAATGCCAGCCAGGTCCTGGAATGTAATAAATTGCATTTTCATAACAACTCATCGGCCACAAAAGAAGGCCCCATGGGCCCCATGCAACCTCCAGGCTGCCAGTTGGACACCCCTGTTCTAAGATATCTTGGATGTTAATATCCCTAATGTACAGAATTTCAGTAGACTGTACTCCTTCCATCTTTGTTTGATCTCCCTTGAATCAGTTATTATCTGGTGTCCTTTAGCATACCAGTTTGAAACTGGATCCTCCTTCTGAGTTCAGAGAGTTTTTGGAAGACTTTCCTTGTTTTTTCATGTCTATTTCCATCTTTAATGTCTTTAAAGACATGGTTGTAATACTGCTTCTTGTTTCTTCTAACAGCTGTCTGAAATTCTTTAAGTTCCTTCCTGAGATCTTTGTCTTTCTCGGCTTTGGCCTCTCTCCTCTTCTTGGCAATTATTCGGTTAGAGCATAAACTTGGATAACCAACATGTCAAAGAGTTATCTACCTCTCCACTATTTTTTCCCAGCCCTAATTGCTCACTTGAATATTTTTTAGTTTACTTTGGACATTATTACTCATTTCTGTTTGGATCATTTTAATTGTCGTTGTTGCCATTATTACTATTATAAAAGTTTCTCTTTTTCTTCACAAACCATATTCTAAATGTCTTAGAGGGCCTTGCTGTGTGATCTGTTGTAAGGGAATCATTCCTGCTTGAATTTGGAGTTCTTTTGTGAATGTTTACTGTCGGTTTATCCATTGCTGCATATTCTTCCATTTTAATCTCCCAATCCTGTATTGATTGAAAGGTTTTTCTTTTCCAATGTTATGCCAGACTGATTCTTGTCATTGTCACCATATTATTATGATGCTTTTCATTTATGTTCTCTGGGATCATACCTAATAAAAATACTTGTGGTTCTAATTCAAATGTTATTTTCAGAATATTCTGGATGTTTTGGTCTATTTTAAATACTTTGGGAGGGGGGATGTTACATAATTATCACATATGAAAAAACATTCCTTCTTTGTTATGGCATTACCAACATTTATTGCTACATGATTTAACTATCTTGGCAATTGTTGATGGAGTTATATGCCATCTGTAGAACATTTTGTACCAATTTTCCCTCAGATTGTAGCTTCATATTAAATAAAAATCATTTTATTGATTTTTTCCATATCTTCCCATTGATTCATCATCACTGTTTCTTTGAAATTTTGCATTCATTTTATCATACAATTTTTTATTTGTTCTGTCTCCATATCATATTTAAGTAGCAATTTGTAAATATCCTGATAAATGATCTTGGTTCCATATAAATATTTCAAATTCTGCCATCTTTCTGAAGATTCCTCCTCATTAAGATTACCTTTTATTTTTTCAGTTATTTGCAAATACATAACTATGGTAGAATTCTTCCTTCATTAAGCAATTCTTGTTGCATCTTTGGTCTATTTCTTGTGTCCAGATGTATCATGTTGGCATAGGTAATCAGATCTTTTTCACTGTAATTAACTTTGAAATAGAAAGCATTTGATGGTGATGCTAGTGATGAAATTGCTTTTTTATCTTGCTTTTAGGGAATTCCAAATTGTTAACGAACTTTCTTTTACAATATGCCCCTTCAGATTCTTCTCTTCTTTTGTTTCCTTATATCATAATTATCTGTGAAACTCATTGGCTAAGCCTGCTCCTTCTATAGTTGATATTCTGGAAATCCTTGGGTGCCCCAAGGATGGCATATGTAATACCTTTGCTGCAGGAGCTGCATTGGGTGCCAGTTTGCTTCCAGGTCCAATTCAGGTTGTTGGTTCTTACCTTTAAATCCCTACATGGCATGGGAGCAAACTACCAGAGGGACTGGATGTAATGGAGGGACCCCATTACATCAACCTGTCCTACTTGATTAGGCAGAGAAGGTATTTTTCCAGAAAGGAGTGAAGACCTGGCTCTGCCAACTTGTGTGGGGTGTGAAGTGCGGGGGAACCATCCTTGGGGGTGGCTGGCACCCTGAAGATGCTCCCATAGGTTGTTAATTTTTATTTACCATCAGTGCCTTGGAAGACATTATTTATTTATGTACATTGTTTTATTGTATTTTAATCTGTATTTATTGTGGTTTTATTGTAAACCACCCAGAGTTGCTCTCTGAGTGACTAAATTTGAAATATAAATAAATAAATAAATAAAATTGTATCCATTCTGTTATCCATGATAGACAACTTGCTCTATAATACAATTTGAAAGAAAGAGAGGGGGGCTACTAGAAAGCCCTTTTTACACATTTTATTGCTTTGTTTGTTTTGCTTTTTATTTTTTTTTCTCAAAATTCTTTAAGAATATATATATTCTTTTTGCTTTTTTTTGCTTGTATGTTTTACTTAACCAATAAAAAGTGAGGTAAAAAAAAAGTTTCAATAGATTTTTAGATTACATCCTTTTCAACAAGAAATATTTTAAAAATGACCATATTGCATTTATGTTTCCAGAGATGCAGTGAAATTAACACTTTACTTAAATATATTATTCCAGTTCAGTAAGAAGCAATTACATGTATTAATTCAACCCTGAAATGTATTATTTTCAGATGTATATATTCTCTCTCAATCACATGGGGGATGATCTCTGGACAAAGAAAATAGATACAATCAAAAGTTATTGTTCAGCACTGGAAACACGTATAGCTTCAGCTATTCAGTTGTTTGCAGAATTGATTAATATAGATCAACTTTGGATGACTGTAATGAACTGTGGCCTCAATTTATTGATATGTCTGTAAATATGTTTGTGTATTTATTTATTTATTTAATTTATATTTCAAATTTGTCACTGCCCATCTCTCTGTGGGGTGACTCTGGGCAGTTTACAGTAAAAACAGAATAAACATTAATTAAAATAGATAAATATTA